TTTGGACGCGGGAAAGGGGGGGAAGTGTCAAATAAGACAAAGGTACAAACTATTAGAATGGTCTTGAAAAACATTTGTTGGTATATGTAGTAGTATTTTTACTAGAAATTACTGAAAATTTATCATAATATATAACTTTTGCTTGGTGTAAAATATCTATAGTAAAATCTTTCGGTGTTTCTTTTTACCCTAGGAAAAGTATTTATCTGTGGAAATTTTATATGTCTTATGTAAATCGTTTCCAACATATACTATATATAGTGAGAACTTAGTGATCCCTCAAAAAGGCGCCTGTGACTTTTATCCCTTTCCAAGGAAATTATGTTAGGTTGTGCCCCCCCCCCCTGTTAGATTTTTAAAAGGTTTTTATGACTTGTATTAGTATATCTGATATAAATGCATATACCAACAAATATAACCCAAGGTCCTACTAAAAGCCCCCCCCCTCTTTTTTCTGATGTATATACACTGTAAGCCTTTCTACTAGGTTCTTTGGCAAACGTACTTATACTAGAAATATTACAGAAAATAATAGTAACATAACTTTTGCCTATGGTAAAAATCTACCAAAATTTTTGTTTCTTTTTCCTGTATGAAAGGTACATGTATTTGTGAAATTTTTTTATGTGTCTTTATGAAATTCGTTTTAAAGGCTTATATGTTAGATCTCATATGGCAAAGCATAGTGGAAGTGGTTAGGAGGTCCCCAATAAATTGTAAAGAAATACTATATGCTACATAGAAGTGCTCCTTAAATGACGCATGTGACCTTTTTTAATTACTTTAATATCAAGGGATTTTTTTTCTTTAGCCCCCCCCCCCTCCCGCGCGACTAAGATCAACTGATTTTTCTTTAAAATTTCTGAATTAAAATGCAAATACCATCAAATGTTACCTTAGCTGCCGAACTGTACCTCTTCGCGCAAAAAGTATATTGACAGACAGACCGAGGCCTGTCATTTTTTTTTTTGAAGAGCTATATACAGCGTTATATGCCTTTAATATCTCTCAAAAAATCTATAGATACTGCGACATTTAACTCCCAACACAATTGTCCAGACTTTTTATATACTATCATTTTCTAAATAAATATATATAAGACATTTCCATAGGAGAATGGTGGGATTTTTAGTCCTAACAACTATCAGAGTGCCATCCTTCTCCAATGGGAGAAAAAGTGTCACTGTCAGATGGTATATTATCTCCCATTGGGATTATTTCTCAAATGAATTAGTTCATATGGGATAAATCCTACAAATATTGACAATGAGACATTCTCTCTCTCGTATACATTGTTAAACATGGAGTATATTCCATACATTATATATGATAATGATATCTCATATGATATCCATGGGATTCATTTTGGACACCACAATTAGAAATGGTAGTAAAACGTCTGCACAATGTTGGGTCCGGATTTAAAAGTGGGAATTTGTTTCAGATTTAAAAAGAGATACACCTAAAGTTTCCCTATTTATTCCTTCCTCTCTTTCGCCATTAAAAAGGGTAAAAAAAAAAATCCCGAAACCATGCACGAAATTTTGTTATTATAGTAATATTCTTGATACAATAGGACTGATTCAAAGCACATTAAGGATTTCACACTGGATTGAATTTGTGGCTACTCAGAGATCGTTATAGATGATTTGAATTTCTTAAATGCAAAACTTTAATGTAACAAGGATACTAGTATTGTACAACACAGGCAATATTCGATCTATCACAGTGGCAGCATGCAGTAAGCAGTGAGCAGTTGGCAATAAGCACAGAAAGTTTGCAGTAAGCAGTTGGCTGTCGTATGGAATTTTATGGAATGCCATATACGACAGCCAACAAATAGCCAACTGTTTTAAACTGCGACTTATATTTGAATAAATTTTATATTTGTATTAATATTTATATGAATTTTCACAAAAAAGGAAAAAAAAAGACACGGATCCAGGACAGAGGGCGTACACGGGTAAAAAATAAAATGACAATATGTTTTATTTTTAAAAAACGTGCTATTTACGCAGAGTGTGATTTTTTAATTTCTGAATGTTTCACATGCATAGATCGGAAAGGGGGGGGGGTTAAAATTTGTACAGTCATACGTTAAATAAACTAAACGAACTACCGGTATAACTGACCTTGGATCCTCCACTTGGAAAACGCCGATCAAACATTTATATCTCTTTTTTTGTACAAATAAAATATGTTTTACATGCAAAGGTTTGGAGAGGGGTCCGGAGCACCCCTCTGAAATTTGGAAAGTTATGTAATGCACAAACTAAACCAACTAAAGGTTATTTAAGTTATAAAATAAATCAATTAAAAGGGACCTTAGACCCCCCCTCCCAACCGAAAATGTGGATTTGTGTTAAGTTGGAATGAAAAATGTCATACACAAAGGTATCGAACCCCCTCTCCCCGGCCGAAATAAATTTTCACATCTAGGAAAGGACTTTACGTATATTTTTCTTGTCAAGAAATTTCTGGGCTGGATTTTTTTTTACCAGAGTGACCCTCTTGGAAAAAAATGTCCTAGATCCGCGCCTTTTTTTTTTTAAATTTACATAAATATCAATATAAAAATAAAATTTATTCAAATATGTGTGGCAGTTGGCAGTAAGCAGCTGACAGTTGGCAGTAAGCATTATTGTCTGCATTTTGTTGCAGGGAAATAATTTGGTAGCTTTTTGGACGCGGGAAAGGGGGGGAAGTGTCAAATAAGACAAAGGTACAAACTATTAGAATGGTCTTGAAAAACATTTGTTGGTATATGTAGTAGTATTTTTACTAGAAATTACTGAAAATTTATCATAATATATAACTTTTGCTTGGTGTAAAATATCTATAGTAAAATCTTTCGGTGTTTCTTTTTACCCTAGGAAAAGTATTTATCTGTGGAAATTTTATATGTCTTATGTAAATCGTTTCCAACATATACTATATATAGTGAGAACTTAGTGATCCCTCAATAAAGGCGCCTGTGACTTTTTATCCCTTTCCAAGGAAATTATGTTAGGTTGTGCCCCCCCCCCCCGCACGGGGGGGATAAAGATTTTTAAAAGGTTTTTATGACTTGTATTAGTATATCTGATATAAATGCATATACCAACAAATATAACCCAAGGTCCTACTAAAAGCCCCCCCTCTTTTTTCTGATGTATATACACTGTAAGCCTTTTTACTAGGTTCTTTGGCAAATGTACTTATACTAGAAATATTACAGAAAATAATAGTAACATAACTTTTGCCTATGGTAAAAATCTACCAAAATTTTTGTTTCTTTTTCCTGTATGAAAGGTACATGTATTTGTGAAATTTTTTTATGTGTCTTTTTGAAATTCGTTTTAAAGGCTTATATGTTAGATCTCATATGGCAAAGCATAGTGGAAGTGGTTAGGAGGTCCCCAATAAATTGTAAAGAAATACTATATGCTACATAGAAGTGCTCCTTAAATGACGCATGTGACCTTTTTTAATTACTTTAATATCAAGGGATTTTTTTTCTTTAGCCCCCCCCCCCCTCCCGCGCGACTAAGATCAACTGATTTTTCTTTAAAATTTCTGAATAAAAATGCAAATACCATCAAATGTTACCTTAGCTGCCGAACTGTAGCTCTTTGCGCAAAAAGTATATTGACAGACAGACCGAGGCCTGTCATTTTTTTTTCGAAGAGCTATATACAGTTCTGCACTTCCTATTACCCCCCCCCCTTTTTCCGACGTTATATGCCTTTAATATCTCTCAAAAAATCTATAGATACTGCGACATTTAACTCCCAACACAGCATTGTCCAGACTTTTTATATACTATCATTTTCTAAATAAATATGATGTCCTATAAGACATTTCCATAGGAGAATGGTGGGATTTTTAGTCCTAACAACTATCAGAGTGCCACCCTTCTCCAATGGGAGAAAAAGTGTCACTGTCAGATGGTATATTATCTCCCATTGGGATTATTTCTCAAATGAATTAGTTCATATGGGATAAATCCTACAAATATTGACAATGAGACATTCTCTCTCGTATATATACATTGTTAAACATGGAGTATATTCCATACATTATGATAATGATATCTCATATGATATCCATGGGATTCATTTTGGACACCACAATTAGAAATGGTAGTAAAAAGTCTGCACAATGTTGGGTCCGGATTTAAAAGTGGGAATTAGATGTTTCAGATTTAAAAAGAGATACACCTAAAGTTTCCCTATTTATTCCTTCCTCTCTTTCGCCATTAAAAAGGGTAAAAAAAAAAATCCCGAATCCATGCACGAAATTTTGTTATTATAGTAATATTCTTGCTACCATAGGACTGATTCAAAGCACATTAAGGATTTCACACTGGATTCGGGAATCAGCTCTGTGGCTACTCAGAGATCGTTATAGATAGATTTGAATTTCTTAAATCGCAAAACTTTAATGTAACAAGGATACTAGTATTGTACAACACAGGCAATATTCGATCTATCACAGTGGCAGCATGCAGTAAGCAGTGAGCAGTTGGCAATAAGCACAGAAAGTTTGCAGTAAGCAGTTGGCTGTCGTATATGGAATTTCATATATAGTTCTATTTAAATTTTTATAAACATTTTTATCTTCTTTTTTTAAATACAGCTTTCTCGCCCGTTGCTCCGCCTTCATATTATAATATGACTTAAAACATCATCAGTAAATTTATTCATATGTAAAAGTTAATTTGCACCTAGTCTGATCAGATGTTAATTTTGCACTGGGGGTCAAATGTGTAACCCCCCTTTTTTAATGTGCGCACAGGAATTAAGTAATTTATATGCAAAAATTCTGTATACGTAAAATCTGCATATTTTGTGTAAATAGTTACATTCGAAAATGATGTTTTACTGAAAGAGATTAAAATGCGGTCAACAGAATGGAGTAAATTTAAAGTTCTATGTAGAGCTTTGTGCTGTTCATCCCATTCATAAATTCCCTGTTTATAGGTGGCGCTCTTTTCTAGACGGTCACATGACTATTTACGTCACTCATCAAAACAATGTTAATGTAATGCGTGACGGGAAAGGTTGTATGTTTTCATGAATTTACAAATGTGTTCTCATATAAATGGCGTAATCTGTTAAGAATTGAAAATTTGGATGATTAGATTTCTAAAAATGTATCCAGAGTGTGACTTCAAGATGACAGAAAGGACGAAATTCAGCTCTAGATCTCGTCAGAACTGTCGGATTAGCATTTCAAGATGGAGGTCGCACTTTCCTCTTACATATTATGTGTTCTTGTGCAGTATGTTAATTTTTCAAAATGTGATTTTTGTAAGTTGTGAAAACGCCATATATACAGCTAAAGTTAATGTAACTTATTACGATGACATAAAGAACAGCAAATCTTCTGTTTGGGAGATGGGGGTGTTTGGAAATGATGAAACCTCAAGGGTACATTCAGCGCCTGGACTTTTGGTGCATGTGCGTACAGGGGATAATAAAACAGATGCATGTAACCCAATAACTAATGCCCCCAGTAATAAGCGATGGGTGGCCTTAGTTCAGAGAGGGTCATGCACTTTGCCACAGAAAGTTCAGACATGTTATTTGGCAAATGCATCAGCAGTTATCATATATGACAATGAGGAACCCAAGTCTTCAAGTGACTACTCAGCTTATAATCTGAAAGGTAATGTCATATTTATTGAAACAATTTCAAAGTAAATAAGAACATGGCTTACCATGCTCATGGTATGTTCGAAAGGCCGTTAAAAACTGTTAAAATTAGGCTAATTTAAAACAAATGAAAAAAAAGTACCCATTGTATGTGAATTATAATTTTAAATTGCATTTATTTTCAAAAATGATATTTTTATTTAGCTTCTGTGTTTGTATCCCCTTGTTAAATGCTCAAGGATGGAAAAGCATATCCAATAGGGGTAAACAATATAGGGGGAAATGATATGACTGAAGCATATCTTGATACTATGACACTGCATCAAGATATGTACCATAATGATATGTCACAATAATATGGCCAGGGCATATAGTGTTTGTCCGGTCCATCCTTTTTTCCTCCATCCTCCTGTCCTATGATGAGCACACTTGCTGTTGATCAAACCACATCAATATGTTAAACTTTGTCCTTCCCTTTGACCCTGACCTGCGGTAGTCTCAAATATTTGTGTTTAGCTCACTTTACTCAGTTTTAAAGAAACTATCCAAAATAATTTTATTAAATTATATATAGGCCAATACATATTGAGGAAAGCTATCTAGGTGTGTTAACATTTATTGACCTTGTCCTTTCTTTTAACTTTTAAAAATTGTAAAGTGACATTGACCTCCTTTCTCTTTTTTTTTGTGTTTAGCTGTGTTTCAAAGAAAATTTTTTTTTTCTCTTGTTTAACCCGATATATATTGGCAAGAGCTATTCAACTTCATCAACATTTTTGACCTTGTGTTACCTTTTTGATCTTGACCTCACATTTCTATAGATTTTGATTTCATAGGTTCAACCAAAAAAAAATTGTTTAAGATATTTTAACAAACTTTATATGCATTTACATACGAAAGATAATCAACTGATCAACATTACTGAACCTGACATTACCTTTGACATGAGACTTCACTTTTCTTAATTTTACTGTTTAGCTATTTTAAAATTGAAAATATTAAATAAACATAAAAATTATTAATATAATATACTGATCAAATTTTATTTGTTGCTAAATTTTGGTGAATGCTTATAAGCTAGCTTCATCTATTAGCTCACCTGAGCCGAAGGCTCAAGTGAGCTTTTCTGATCAAAATTTGTCCATTGTCTGTCGTTGTCATTGTTGTCATCATAAACTGTGAGCAAAGCAGACCTGTTTACTCTTACGATTTCCCCGTATTTTGTACGGATTTTTAGTCCAAAATACGTCTCACGTTTTGTTATCATGGAAATACGGAAATAAAAAATACACTTGTTTAGAAATGGGAAGGTAGATTTTGTTATGATTTGTCCTAGTTTCACACTTTTTAATCGCTAGAAAAGATTTCAAACACAAAAGATATGTCTGTTTGCCAAAAGGTTGTGGTATATAATGACCAATAACATGTTATTAATCCATGTTTTAGTTATCAAAATCAGTTGTTCTCCATTAATATACGTAACATCGATAGAAAATGAAATATTACTGGCAAATGCCAAATCTCACGGGCAAATCTAATCAAAAATACTGAGAGACAATGATTAGGGTAAACAGGTCTGGCAAAGCCATGGCATGATTGGTGATATTTATATGGAAGCATCCTGAGGTAGTGTAGTTTCAATATTGTTCAAATCAGAATTCTTTGGGGTAGGGTGGGGACACAATGTGGGATCAATTTTTACAAAGGAATATATACTAAAATATCTTTAAAATTTTCTAGAGAACACCAAATCCATGATTTATTTAGTTATATTTTATATGGAGCTAATCAAAGCATCCTCAGGTGGTTTAGATTCAGGTTTGTTCAAATTATGACCCATGGGGTTAGGATGTGGCCACAATGAGGGAAGTTTTGCATAAGAATATAAAGGAAAAAATCTTCTCCAGAACAGAAAAGTTTTGTTTAATCAAATTGACATGTAAGCATCTGCAAGTAGTGAAGATTTAAATTCATTCAAATAATGTTTTTCATTTCCGAGATTAAAGAGTCAAGAAGTATCCCGAACGCAAATATCGTCATTTACAAAAAAAACAATTGCTGATTGGTCGACTGATCGAGAAAAAAACCCCCATCTTCTATGAACACTGTATGCCAAGGGTTCATGAGGAGAGTAGCGTATCAGAAACCCTTGGCTGGCGAAGATGTACTGTGTATTTTAACTAGCCCATGTGCTCAGGTGAGCAATGTTGCCCATGGGCCTCCTACAGTTTTGGTCCGATTTCAATATAACTTGGCACACAAGTAGACTACACTAAGATACATTATTCTGTGCATCGGTTTTTGCTTTGGATGAACGGTGTTGCCATGGTTACTAAAAATAGAAATTTCTGTGAAATTCTTTGAAAATGCTACTCCTCCTACAGTTTTGGTCTGATTTCAATATAACATGGCACACAAGTAGACTACACTAAGATACATAATTCTGTGCATCGGTTTTTTATTTCAATGAATGGTGTTGCACACGTGTTTTTGTTACGGTGTTGCCATGGTTAAAAATAGAAATTTCTGTGAAATTCTTTCAAAATGCTACTTCTCCTACAGTTTTGGTCTGATTTCAATATAACTTGGCACACAAGTAGACTACACTAAGATACATAATTCTGTGCATCGGTTTTTGCTTTAAATGAACGGTGTTGCCGTGGTTACTAAAAATAAAAATTTCTGTGAAGTTCTTTCAAAATGCTACTCCTCCTACAGTTTTGGTCTGATTTCAATATAACTTGGCACACAAGTAGTCTACACTAAGATACATAATTCTATGCATCGGTTTTTGCTTTCGATGAACAGTGTTGCTATGGTTACTAAAAATAGAAATTTCTGTGAAATTCTTTAAAATGCTACTTAATTTTTTTATTTTGATGAGTGGCAAGGATCATTTTTCTATTCATTGCTGTTTTAAATTTTCAAGTCCCAACTGCTACTTCCTCTTCCTTTGTTTTAAGTACAGTGATTGGGATAAGCACGCGCCCTGCGCCATAGTCGCATTAAATTTTAAAATGTCACATTAAAATTAAAAACGCTGCGCCATCGTGGCGCATAGAAAATCATGCACTACATACTTTTAAACTTGGAACTTTCCCCCAAGCGTTTGTCTTTCCCACAACAATCGCTGTCAATTTACGCTTGAAAAAACACCGTGTTAAAGCGTTCTTATGGCTTTCTTTTTTCCAGTATCTAATCAACAGTTACGTGTTTTCTGATTGGCTATCGCGCACGAAATAAACTGGTGTCAGGAGTGCAGCATGCTGCCTAAGAAAATAGTACCTCGTACCGATAAAGGGCAGACTTTTCTTAATTTTAACAATCCTAACAAATAGAATTCAAGTAAATTGGTAGAAAATGACTCGGAAGAAGTATAACATGCTGACAGAACGAATGGAGATGACGGTAAGACCAATGATGTAGTCTCGGAGGAAAAACCAAAACGAAAATTTAACATGTGGAGGGAAGCAGTATAGATCTAAACCAGGCTTTAAATCATTTTAAAGATGTCAAACATCGGAGACAAAAAATAAAGAATTGAAATTAAATTGCGGTGTTTATTTATTTTCTGACACTTGTGAATCTAAATATACTAATTTAGTATCTTTTAATGTCGTCATTCAATGATTTGACCATTTGAATTAAGTAAACTCAACTGAATAATAACAGCAACTAGGTGAAAGTGTACATTATATTGATTGCAAGTTTGTAACTAGGAAATGTCCCATTAAAAAGTCTGTTCGGCGCATTGAATTTTGAAATGTCACATTGGCACTGATTTGGAGTGTGCCATTGTCACATTTACTCCCTAGCTTATCCCAATCACTGTAAGTATAAACCAGTAGAGCTACAGTCTCGACAGAGACTTCTGGTTTCCAATTATCATGATTTAATATTACTTTTATTTATAAGCACTTAATATTTTTTCTCATCATGCCGCAGTACATAAGAACATCGAGCATTATTGCCCTACAGTGGCCAGCACTGTGATTTTTGCATTCAAAATGAAAAACAAAACAAAACGAGTAGATACAAAGCAAACAAATTGATGGTTACTAATATGCAATTTTCTTGCATATATTTTTAATTTGTTTATAAACATAGGTTCTTATCTTCTTATGCAATCAAGTACTTTATCATGACATCATTTGACTGGATATTGATAAATGAAAAAATTCGGTGAGTAGAACTTGACCCACTGACTGATTTTCTTCATGGGATGGTACTCACAAAGGTTACATGTACAAATAGAAAAGAAGGTTAATGTTTAAAATACATCATTTGATGCACAATATTTTAAAGAAGTTTATCTGAATTTACCAAAAAAAATCTTATATGATATCATCTTGTCCTGTAGTGTGCTGTTGAGTGACTGACCTACAAATTTTGTTGATCTTGTTTGATGGTTGACAATATATTATGCCAACAAATTATAATGCATGTATATAACTTTAGGCATAGTATGATCTGTTTCTTTAGATATTGAATAATTGATTTCAAGAAAAAAATGCCTTTAAACCTAAAATGTCCAAGTTTATTCTGTAGGTAACATATTGGCCATCTTTGTCACCAAATCGGATGGGCACAAGCTACTGGGTATCATGAAGGATCACAAAGAGGTAAATGTGCAGATTTTGGAGGGTCATTTGAAGAATGTGAAGAGTAATACGGACCCCTCCACCCCTACCAACATCAGCAAGACCTCAGTCATGTTTGTCTCCATCTCCTTCGTGGTTCTCATGATCATCTCCCTGGCTTGGCTGGTCTTCTATTACATTCAACGATTCCGATATGCACATGCCAAAGAAAGACTTTCAGTAAGTTTTTTTCTAATTTATCTACTATGTTTTTCAATATTATAGTGTATAGAATGCGAGGTTAATTTAAGGTATAATGTTTTTGAAAGAGTCAGTCAGTCCGTCAGTCAGTCAGTCCTCTTTTTTTTGTCAGCGCAACTCCTCATAAACCGCTGCACAGAATTTCGTCAAACTTTGCAGGTATTTAGGACACAATGTGTAGATGTGCATATTACCAGGAAATTCCGATTCCATTATTTTTTACGGGAATTTCCGAACTTTTTAACTTAGGCATTTGGCCATACCTTGAATATAGAGATTAACAGTTTGTCAGCGCAACTCCTCATAAACCGCTGAACAGAATTTCGTCAAACTTTGCAGATATTTAGGACACAATGTGTAGATGTGCATATTACCAGGAATTTCCGATTCCATAATTTTTTTCCGGGAATTTCTGCACTTTTTAACTTAGGCATTTGGCCATACCTTGAATATAGAGATGAACAGTTTGTCAGCGCAACTCCTCATAAACCGCTGCACAGAATTTTGTCAAACTTTGCAGATATTTAGGACACAATATGTAGATGTGCATATTAATTTTTTTTGCGGGACTTCCCGCACTAAAAACTTAGGTTTTTGGCCATACCTTTTATATAGAGATGAACAGTTTGTCAGCGCAACTCCTCATAAACCACTGCACAGAATTTCATTAAACTTTGCAGATATATATAGGACACAATGTGTAGAAGTGCATATTACCAGGAAATTCCGATTCCTTTATTTTTCCGGGAATTTCCACACTTTCCAACTTAAACTTTTAGGCCATTTTTTGAATATTGAGATGAACAGTTTGTCAGTACCACTCTTCTTAAACTGTAAACAGTTGTACATAGTTTCGTCAACCTATGCAGATATTTAGGACATATTCCATTATTTTATCCTAAAGAGTTTTGCCTATTATTCAAGAAATTTCTCCCCCCCCAACCACTATAAATGAATGTTAGGATTTGTATAATGCCAAGAAATTTTGATTCCATTATTTATCTAGAAACTTCATTCCACATTTAAATGTCCTCATATGCAAGACATTTTGATGTGAAGATTTTTTTGCAATTATTGCCCTTTTTGATCTATACTATGTATTTAAAGTGCACTGTGCCTTTCATTATGTGTTTCACCGTCAAGTTTTGGGGGAGCGTGGGGTATGTGAGCTAGCTCACTTTTTCTTTCATTAATTAAAGATCTAGTGAAGTCTACTTAAAAGAGTACACTTTTATTTGATGTCTAATACCGGGTAATGGCCTTTGTATACAAGTACTGTGAAATAACTATATAATCACTGCGAAATGTAAAATTTCCTATGCATTACTTGTAAACATTTTCCAACCACGAAATCAACCCCCCACAAACCAATATTTTTTCCTCAAACTTGGAAAAAATTTACCTCACAAAAATATGTGATTTTTCAGTACACTCTTGCCATATGGGTCATTGTTCACATAAACATTGTTGGAAATGCTTAGAATTTTAATGTCTAAGGCCATCTTTAAAAAAATTGTTTGATTGCCCTCTCCTGAGCGGCCAATCTAATTAAAATTAGATGTTAGATCTGCTCGCATACTCACAACACTAACTAGTTAGTATAGCGAGTATACAAGCGAATCTAACATCTAATTTAATTAGATTGCTGAGCGGTTAAAAACTTGTCAACTCTAACTTTTTTAGTAAATTCCAGGACACAATCCCCTTGCGCAACTAGTTGCGATTATTTTTTGCTGCAATTTGATGCTCAATGATTTAAAAGGAATTTTAAAAAAAAAAAATCATAATCAGGACCCTTTGACTTCACAAGTGAAGGGTAAATAAGAGAGAAATAACTGAATATGTACATAATTATTGTTGAGCAATATTTTATACTTTGTTATAAAACCCCTCATAAAATAATTGTGGTGAAGAAATTAATTATGCTGTATATATTGAGTCTTATTAAAATATCAGTAGACTGGAGTGGGAAGATCTATCTAAATAACAAAATACGTAACATTTTTTTCTATAGCTCATTGACATTTACATCGATAATTAGTAAATTAAGGTTTTCTAATCATTGTCTGTGTATTAAAAATAATATATATATTTTAGATGATTTGATGAATCTTTTATTTTTTGAGCCCTTTAGTTATGAAATAAAATATTTGTTTAGTATTGTGATGACATAAATACTCTTCAATCTTTTGTGTAGCTGGTAGTTATATATGATGAATTGATTAGATATGACAGTGTTAGGGACCTGTTTTAGAGGTTGTTGACAATTTACATGTATCAGTGTTGTTTCTCTGCTGCGTGCACAATAACTACCTTTGGTTGCTATGGCAGTGCGTTTTCCTTCACAAACTGAGGCCTTATTCGATGGCATTAAATATCTCTGGGAGAGGGTAGACATATTGATTTCTAAGGAATGATGGCAGGAGTTATAGACAATGCTGTGTACATAATTTGATGGGAGCTTAGCACTGCAAGAGGTCAATACCCTCACATCAATTTGCATTTCATTGTCTTCAGAGTTCATTGTAGAGATTACTTGATATATCATTAATGTAATCAGAAAAGAAGTATTGCTTGTTTGTCAAGACCCTCTGTACTAAAGTCATTCTGATCAGAATTTCCTGCTGGTGATATGTCTGTGTAGGCTGATTTTTCCCCTTGAAGTATATCAGATAATATAAAGTGAAAAAGCTTACATGTAGATAAACATGAGAGATACAAAAGAGGCTAAACATGCTGTGCTCGGTGCACTATATTTTTTATAACCTCTTAGTCTTACATAACTAGGATTTCCTTCCCTTTAAATGAATAAGTAAAAAGTAGATATTTATAAATTTAAAAAAAAACTGAGGGGATGGATTATTTTAGTCTTCATTGATCTCTGTTTTGTTGCCATTTTAATTTTTTCCTGCTCACTACTAAGTTATATCACAAATAAGGAGAAACTTAAAGAATAGGACGAAATAGTTCAAATACGATGGACACTATAGAATTCTCACATAATTTTAGTCATAATTGCATACATGAGAAATAAAACTATATTCTGAACCATATTCTTATAGTTAATTAGGGCCCCGCAAGGATTTGGCCCTATAGTAATCACTCTGTCTGTCCGTCTGTCCGTCTGTCTTTCTTCCGTCCACAAATTTCCTGTTTTTTTAATAAATGGTTGCCCAATTAAGATCAAATTTGGTATGGTAGTTCAATAGGCAGAAAGACATATTTTGATGCTAAAAGCTGGGGTGGTGGGGTATATTCTTTAACTTTATATAAGAATGCTTTAGCAAAGAGAGATAACTGCTGAAGATGTTTCCATTGTAAACTGAATGCTGCTATGAGTCCCTTGGGATTAATTAGCTTTCCTCCTGAAGAAAATCCAAAGCATTATCTTTATCTGTCACATTGTTGCAAATGAAGTTTGTTTTGAAGTTCAGTCAATTTGGAATGCTATAAACACTCTGAAATGTGGATTTAGATATAAATGTTTTTTACCTACACAATGAGTTATGATTTATCACAACATATCTTTTATTTTTACTTTTTTACTTTATGTAAATTCAAGAAAGTTAAAGCCATTCTAATATTAATACTGAAAAAGTTCTTATTGTAACTTTAGAAGAAAATGATGAAATAAGATTAATTATCTAGCCTGCTGAAGAAAATTTAGTAATCTTTATCTGTCATTTTAAGATTAATGAAAAACTTTGTCTGCAACTGCTGTTTGTTTTGAAGTTAAGGTCAAGCCTTCATGATACATGTATTTGCATTCATTGAAGACTGGCATTTTATATAACACAAACACAAACTTCATTATTGTTTATATATACATTCAATGTTAGGTTGTTCTTTACTGCCAGTGCCTAATGATACAAGGATATTATTTACAGGTTTTTGGATATAAAGAATACTATATTTTTAATTTGTAGTTTGTCTAAAATATCACTTTAAGAGTCTTATGTATTTCAACGTTACAATCAGTTTGACTTGTATAAGATTTTAAAAGTTATTAAAGTATTTCTAAGTCAAGAATATATTATTGTAAGCACAGGGCAGTTTTGTTTAGTATTTTCTGATGTGGGGATGTTACACTGACTTGTTTTTTTTGTAGAGACGTCTAGCCAGCGCTGCCAAAAAAGCCATTGCCAAGATTCCTCAGAGAACTCTCAAAGGAGGCGACAAGGTATGTAGATACATCACATCACTTGAAATGTATTACAATAATAATCCTAGACTGCTAATAGTGCAGTACGCGGTAGGGATATAATCATATTCAAACAGGGGAACTTTTGCATCACAGCCACCAGTATTTGATGCAGAAATGGCATTTATTAGCTTCTTCATGGTACAAAAAATATGTCCCTAGGACCCGAATGCCCTGTTCAGGACCCGGATGTTCTGTTCAGGTTTCATTAGAAAAATATAGTAGAAAATTAAAAATGGACACAATAAATTCTCACCAAACAATGTCTCAGTGCATAAGTACAAAGAGAATTTTGGTATACATTGTTCAGATTGCAGCTGAGAGGGTCATTAATTTTGCATCTACTGCAATCCAAAGTAACACATAGGATCTGACCATCACTTTTTTGTCCAGTGTCTGTCTGATTTGTCCATCTGTCACCTCTCTCTTTTAAACTACAAAGGGTACATAGGCATCAGATATTTTGTGTAAGGCTATGAACATACAGTACAAATATTACTGAATACACTGAAAATGGATTGTATATAATTTAGCATAATAAGCATATGATCTATTTTTCTGAGTAGAATTCTTTAAAACTTGATATTTGATAATTTGATGAATTTGGTTAAATAGATATTCTTTGCAGCAGTTTGTTTTACAAAAAAAAAAATAAATAAATAAAATAAAAGAGTTCATTTATTTTATTTCTTGGCCATTTATCTAATAGTCATGCAGCAGCTATTTTTTCTACAATTTCCTCTGTATCTTATACTATTTGAAGACTGTTGCTTTCACTAATATTTTTTACTGTATATGTAAAGTTTGTTTGAATTTTATATCACATTAGAGAGCTTAGCACAGGGAATCTAGAAGTGCAGTAGAATTTGGATGCATTTTGTAATTGATTCAAGCAGGGCACATGTTTACAGTATTTTCAATTAAATGGAGGACTGCATTAACTATATATTGACATGGCAAGGAAATATTAATCTTACAATCAAGATTTACTGCATGTAATGGATCATAAGTTGAGTATGCTGTTATTTGTTTCCTTAGGACATGTGTACTAAACTTTTGCGCATTGACAATGTTGACGGAATGGGTTGCTGTGATAGAAAATCAATAGAATATCTGACAAGCAGCTTAGTTTTTGTCTTGATATAGTGAGTATGGCATACAAGCTATTGGATAAAATTGTCTGCAGGAAGACAGACCGTTCGGTTTTTTAGATTGTAAAAGCGGTACTTGCAGGGCTGACTTATTAGTAATGGGGAATATTTATCAGTTATTGACTCTATCAGACATGTTCTGTAATGACTCCATACAATCCAGTGACTGCAGCAATAAACGGCATGGATGGACTGTCACTACACTTACTTAAGCTGACATACAATGTAGTGATTATGTACATGTGTATATGTCATGTTGTCAGATTCAGAATCCTTTGACCAAGTCTAGCAGCAAAAAAGTGATTTTTGTGTCCTCATGATCCAGATGCTTTTGGAGGGGGGTGGGGGAGGAGGGGGGGGTGATGGTCATCTGATTTATAAGCATTTTGATCTCTTATTCAATTGACAAAGCGGGGGATATAATTAAAATATGGTTCACATTTGGAACTCAATTTTGCTAATAAAATACTTTGAAAATAAAATGAATAAAACTATTCTGTCTATACATATCTATTTACTAATACATATAAATAATTCAAATCTCAGCTGTGACTGACCTAAAGCATGTAAAGTCGATAAGAAATGGGTAGCAACTGTTCTTTTGCCATGCACTCAGCACTTTGAAGTGGAAGTTGCGGGTCCTTTGTATGACACCTTAAAAACTGAGGACACATGTAACGGCAGGTCCCTCACTGCTAAATGGCCCTGAGTGCCAAGTAGAGGTCAAAATTTGAACTCCTTTACCAGTATTTGGTGACATACATCTCTACATAAGTAAAAAATTCTTGAATGGGATGTAAAACAACATACAATCAATCAATCATATAAATATTTTACATTACTGCAAAAGTTCTTGCTGAAATTTTGTTTACTCCCAGAGATATGCTGATTCAGAAATCAATTACAAAATTGACCGGTTTTCCAGCTTGGGCCCGTGGTCATTCACATGTATACAGACGGTGTTTGAACTATACAGTTGCGTAATATTTGCATAATATTTGCATATATAATATTTGCATATTATATCAACATTTATAATTTGATTTTTTTATTCCACTTCGCAATTCTCTACTTATACAACATTATTATGATTATAAAATGTCTGATTCAACAGCTGTACAAGTACAACCATGTTTTTTTTTTTACTGTAAATCACTTTTAAAAATTTATTAGCATTAAGAACTTTATTTTCACGTAATTACATGAGACAATGTGTTTGCAAAAAATAGTGTTCTCACATATTTTAGTATATCAAGAGATTATAATAGAACATAATCACAATTCAAGAAAATTTTGTCATACTAATAAAGAGTTTATGACTATCTAGCCAAAATATGGTGTCTTGAAAATTTAGTGATCTACATTAAGCAAATGTTTGGAGAGTATAGAATTAATTCCTTGAAAATTTCCTCCCATCATTTCCACTTGATAATTAGGGTAGATGATTAGATGCCCAAGCTTATTTCCAGTACGGAAAACTAGATCAATTCAGCATATTCTCAGAATTCTCAAATGATAATGAGAAGTTCTAAAATTATTAAAATGGTTTTTTTCCCCTTTTGGTTTTTGTGTTTTTCTCATGAAAAAGGTAGATTTTTTTTTAATTTAGGATGGATACTAGACAAAGAAAAAATTTGGAATGGTCTAAGTAGAATAATTTGATTATTTTTGTTAATATTCGTTCAGAATAATCCCATTTAGAAGTTCTTTGGTTCATTTTAATCTGATCTGTTTACTTGACTGAAGTAGTTTTAGTAAAAGAGTAGTCAAATGATAAACAACAAAACGCTAGTATGTGTTTACCATGATGAATACATGTATGTATGCATATGTTTATCAGAACATTCTTGTATGCATATCTTTTGCAACAGGCATAGCCAAGGGGGAAACGCTGGCATGTTTGCCTCTAAGTTTTCTGCACTGGATGACTCAATGAAGGCTAATTAACACAGAATTTTATTTAAGGCTTTTTTCCCAGACAGTCCAATTACAAACTGAATCGCTGTGTAGTTGTTGTAGATATGCAGAAGTACATACTTCAGAGAGTCTGTTACTTTTGTCTGTGATTGACTGATGTATTTCAGAAAAAAATATTTAGTATTTTTTACTGATACGATGACAGCTTTGTTTCTTGAATGTGAATTCTTGACATTTCTTTTTTTTTATTTTGGTCATAACAGGGCTCTCTATTCTTTAAATCTGGGGCCGATATTCGGCCCCATTCCCAATGCAAAAAAGGTACCTTTTTTCCCAAAAGAAAGGTATAAATTTCCCAATTTCCATAGCAAAATATTTTTTAAAAAATAAAAGTCCATGAAACTTAATCGCAAAAAAAAAACAAACAAAACACACTTGCAAATGATAGTAAAACTGTACTAGGCTTATATTTTATTAGTTCGCGCCAAATGCATTCAAAAACTGGTTCGGGGAACAGGTTATTGTTTTTACAAAAATGTGTATGGTACTAACTATGAGTGCAGAGCATCTTGTCATGAAGTTTCGCCAAAAAAAAAAATCATTTTGGTTTCAATCATTTAAACATTAGTAAGCTGCACCTAGAAACATGCTCACGTTTCGGCATGTTCAGTCTCGCGCTTTATTGGTAAGCAAAGTTGTCCCATGTGATCGAGGAAATTCGGGACTATGTGATTAGCGACTGTCACTCAGAAAGACATATAACCGCATTATCAACACTCAAAGATAGTAATGACAAAGCTAATGTACTTACTTGAATAGCTACGTACCCACGTTTGTTCTGTTTAACTGTTTATTCAAAACCAGAGTTAAATTGATGACAAAATGCCAGAAAAGCAAAATTTGAGGATTTTTTTAAAATGAATTTTGGTTATCTAACTTTTCCCAAAATGACGATAATTTTCCCAAATCGAACCGCCTGGGCCCTAGTCCCAAAAAGTGGTGTGAGAGCCCTGCCTGCTCAACAAAAACAGAAAAAATCAGACAAAATAAGTTGCATGCATTTCACAGAACAAGTCCTAAGGTTTTCTTTTAGTGTGCTTTCAGGGTACATTTTCCACCTCTTGAAAGAGCTACATTACCTGCTAATTGATCATGCAATTCTGCACATGTGAAAACTGGATGCTATTAAAAAGTCTCACAATTTTTTTTTTTTAAAAATGAATGCACATTTTTTTCTTTAAATATTAAGATAAGACTCTACTTTATGCGAATAAAAACAAAAAAGATGCAGTTTTCATCTAGACTCCTATAAATAGCAGGAAAATCCCTACCCAGCATGCTTCTCTCTGGGAAAAACCCCCTGGATTTTATACGAAACTGTGTTTAGCTACCTTAAAGGAAATAATTTTTTTTTTGCAATTCACTTTTTTGTATTTAGGTGCAAAGAGACATTCCAAACATTTTGGTGCATAAATTGTTGAATTTGGTCCAGAAATGGGCAAGTTATTGTAAATTTAGTATTACATGTCTACGACATTAGTCGACGCATAAAACAGGCCTTCGAAGAGAAATTCAAACCTAACCGAATCAGCTCACACAATAATTTTATTTTTCTTCAATTTAAAAAACACAAAGTATGAAATATACAGTATTTGAATATCAATAAAATGTTACATTATAAATTTTTTGAAAAGCTGCCAAACAATTTTTACAGATATTGCTAGTTTCTGTATAAACAAGGGGGGGGGGGGGTCTAATTGGAAATAGTCACTGTCTTAAATCAGAAGATTGCCTAAAACATCTGGTGTGTACTCAATAGGTCTATGTCACATGTATATCTATACAGAAGATACATATTCTGATTTGCGATCAATTAAATTGAAGGTCATGACCTTGCGAAGCTTCATTTTTGACATGACGTCACACTTTGATGTCACAATGCTGTTGCGTCATAATGTAAAATAACAACTTTAGCCCCTGAATCCTTATCATATGTATAAATTCTATGGAACATGTATCTAATAGGCATTATGCCTTACACAGTGTCAACCTGAGATTATATTGTATGGTTTACTACATAATTTAAAAGAAATAAAGCAATTTTCTATGAACTTACAGGCAAATAAATGTGGGAAATGTCATCAAATGCTACTCCTTAAAGGAAATAATTTTTTTTTGCAATTCACTTTTTTGTATTTAGGTGCAAAGAGGACAGAATTCCAAACATTTTGGTGCATAAATTGTTGAATTTGGTCCAGAAATGGGCAAGTTATTGTAAATTTAGTATTACATGTCTACGACATTAGTCGACGCTTCGAAGAGAAATTCAAACCTAACCGAATAAGCTCACACAATAATTTTATTTTTCTTCAATTTAAAAAACACAAAGTATGAAATATACAGTATTTGAATATCAATAAAATGTTACATTATAAATCTTTTGAAAAGCTGCCAAACAATTTTTACAGATATTGCTAGTTTCTGTATAAACAAGGGGGGGGGGGGGGGGTCTAATTGGAAATAGTCACTGTCTTAAATCAGAAGATTGCCTAAAACATCTGGATCTAGATAGATAGGTCTATGTCACATGTATATCTATACAGAAGATACATATTCTGATTTGCGATCAATTAAAAAGGTCATGACCTTGCAGTTTTTGACATGTCACACTTTGATGTTTATTAAAATAACAACTTTAATGATCCTTATCATATGTATAAATTCTATGGAACAATCTAATAGGCATTATGCCTTACACAGTGTCAACCTGAGATTATATTGTATGGTTTACTACATAATTTAAAAGAAATAAAGCAATTTTCTATGAACTTACAGGCAAATAAATGTGGGAAATGTCATCAAATGCTACTCCTTAAAGGAAATAATTTTTTTTTGCAATTCACTTTTTTGTATTTAGGTGCAAAGAGGACAGAATTCCAAACATTTTGGTGCATAAATTGTTGAATTTGGTCCAGAAATGGGCAAGTTATTGTAAATTTAGTATTACATGTCTACGACAAATAAAACAGGATCGAAGAGAAATTCAAACCTAACCGAATCAGCTCACACAATAAATTTTTTTCAATTTAAAAAACACAAAGTATGAAATATGTATTTGAATATCAATAAAATGTTACATTATAAATTTTTTGAAAAGCTGCCAAACAATTTTTACAGATATTGCTAGTTTCTGTATAAACCTAATTGGAAATAGTCACTGTCTTAAATCAGAAGATTGCCTAAAACATCTGGATGGTGTCACCCTAACTAGATACTCAATAGGTCTATGTCACATGTATATCTATACAGAAGATACATATTCTGATTTGCGATCAATTAAATTGAAGGTCATGACCTTGCGAAGCTTCATTTTTTTCACACTTTGATGTCACAATGCTGTTGTATAAGTAAAATAACAACTTTAGTGAATCCTTATCATATGTATAAATTCTATGGAACATGTATCTAATAGGCATTATGCCTTACACTTGTCAACCTGAGATTATATTGTATGGTTTATACATAATTTAAAAGAAATAAAGCAATTTTCTATTAACTTAAATGCAAATAAATGTGGGAAATGTCATCAAATGCTACTCCTTAAGGGTGCAAAACACAGTTTTATTTTGAGGGACATTATAAAAAAATAAAAAGGCTTGTTACAAAACCTGCATATCAATGGAAAGATAAAATTGTGAATTTTGTAAATATCCAACTTTAATACATTCATCAATTACTACTAGGGGGTATTTGACACCTGAAATAAGGGGGATATTGGGTTGTTTACGCATCCATTTTCAGTGCACCTATGCATTTTTAACCCCCCTGCCAGGGCTCTCTATTCTCCCGTATAGCCCTCCCAATGCAAAAAATACAAAAGAAAGGTATAAATTTCCCAATTTCCATAGCAAAATATTTTTTAAAAAATAAAAATTGAAACTTAATCGCAAAAAAAAAACAAACAAAACACACTTGCAAATGATTAAAACTGTACTAGGCTTATATTTTATTAGTTCGCGCCAAATGCATTCAAAAACTGGTTCGGGGAACAGGTTATTGTTTTTACAAAAATGTGTATGGTACTAACTATGTGCAGAGCATTTGTCATGAATGCAAAAAAAAATCATTTTGGTTTCAAAAATAGACATTTCATTTAAACATTAGTAAGCTGCACCTAGAAACATGCTCACGTTTCGGCATGTTCAGTCGCGCGCTTTATTGATAAGCAAAGTTGTGTTGCGCCATCATGTGATTAGCGACTGTCACTCAGAAAGACATATAACCGCATTATCAACACAAAGATAGTAATGACAAAGCTAATTTTCACCCACGTTTGTTCTGTTTAACTGTTTATTCAAAACCAGAGTTAAATTGATGACAAAATGCTAGAAAAGCAAAATTTGAGGATTTTTTAAAAATGAATTTTGGTTATCTAACTTTTCCCAAAATGACGATAATTTTCCCAAATCGAACCGCCCCGGCCCTAGTCCCAAAAAGTGGTGTGAGAGCCCTGTCATAAATGTTCTTACATAATAATAAAACATTTATTGCCTTTTGTAAAGGATCATTTACTTGAAAAGGAAATGATTCATGATAAAATGCCAAATGTGCCTCTTGTCAAAAGTGTTTAGTTCTTGATGTACTTTAATTCATACATCATAGAAAGTGTCAGTGGTCATTAATCATGGTATGGTCATATAGTTAGCAAGGCTTGTACCAGTGGAATACTTAGAAGATTACCTTATATTGCCTAATGACCAGCATCTCTTATTTGTATCTTATAGCAGCTTATACTCAGTTATTGAATCAGATATGGGTCATCTGTGTTAAGATCGTAATTTCTTTGTAAATTTAAGTAATACATTACAAAGTAGGCCCATACATTATAAAAGAAGCTCATGGATTACAAAATAAACACATACATTACATACCGATAAAATAAACTTTTTTAAGCTTTAAACAAGAAGTGTGTTTTTATAGATTGGATCTTTGTATTTGTTTTTGTTTGCAAAACTGTTTGGATAAGATATGCTATTAAATAAATGTGTTTATTAAAATTTGGCACAAAGCATTTGTGGGTTTTCTAAGGCAATGGGGGTCACTCAGGTGAACTTTTGTTCTTTTTTTCCATTGTTTAAGGTTACCTTTACCTTTTCATTTCTCGGAATTAATTACTAGATGAATTGAAATATAACATCCATTGAGATAAGGATTCAAATTTCCTAGAATAAAGAATTATGCCCCTTTACAATGGTGATGCTGGAAAAATTGCCAGTTTTTACATGTGTTTTATTTAATCTATTAATGACCCAAATCAAAACAAGTTGCACATATATTGTTATTACTCATTGACTTGTGAGTCACCCATGTATATTGTTTGTCCACATACAAGTATCTAATCTAGAATTTAAGGAATCAGATTTTCTTTGTACTATATCAGTATATGCATGTCTTGCAATGTTTCCAATTAGTTCACTAAATGGTTTGTATAATTTTAAATGTAACTGTAAGCTTTATCTCTTTGTGTTTTGTAGGAATTGGATCCCGAGTTTGATCAGTGTGCAGTGTGTATTGAAGGATACAAGACTTCAGATGTTGTCAGAACATTGCCATGCAAGTAAGTTTGTCTGCAGGAAATCACACCTTTGTCTGCAGGAAATCGCACCATTCCACGTGGCTGGCCAGTAATTTATATAATCTAGTAAACAGCTATACCAACACCCACCCTGTTATTTCATTGAGCATGAATAAATAATATACAGTAGTTCATATGTCAGATTATTCCAACAGAGAGTTAAAATGACACAGAATAATGAAAGAGATGATGATGAGTAAAAATTGTAATTTATTCAGACAAAGAGATATTTTTGTTTAATCAGAACTCCTGTACTATTTATCTACCCATCATGGATCACTTGCACATTGTGGAATGTTTTTTTCCAAAAATGCCTGACTTCCAGAATGTTCCTGTGTCAGTTGAGTTCATGTTTTAAGACATGGATAGGAGTAGGTAGATTCCAGAAATACAAAAATAAATGAAGTAGTTTTTAGCAGTTTTAATGGGGGTAGGGGCCGAGGTGGAAGGGGGGCCTAATCTTAATTAAGCAAAGGAATGTATGCTTATTAATAATTTTTGTTCTTTTTTTGTTTTGAAAAAAAATAATTTTGTGGGCTTAAGTTGCCTAATTTTCATAAAATTATGCAGATATATTTTTTTTTTATAAATCAGTCAAAATTGTAAATAAAAGTAATGAGCTTATCTTTTTAAATTATTGGAATATGAATATCAAGTAAGGCACTGCAAGGTGGAGCATCCCCTTGCAAACAACATATCTGTAAATCAAGGCAGCTTTCAACATCGATTCTGATGCAAATTATGTCACTTCCATTTTATGCAGAATTAACACCCCAACAAATGCACGCACACCATTGCATTACTATATCCCCTCCAACTCCATTGTGAGGGAACAAAAAGCCCTCTGGGCTTTATGGACTTTGCTCACTTGACCCTCCCTTATTTATCCATCCCAATTAAACATTTAAATTGATAGCTTATTTCTTAAATAGAATTATCAAAGAGAAATTAGTTGATATCTAAACTTGATTTCAAGTTTCAATATTTATTTTAATATTAAGAATATATGTCTGATGGTTTTTGACGTGTCAGTAATTGTATTTCCATCTATTCATTGAAAAAATTAATTCAAGTGAGGGTTGTTTTTGTTTCAGACATATTTTTCACAAGTCCTGTGTGGATCCTTGGTTATTAGATCAAAGAAGCTGTCCAATGTGTAAGCTGGACATATTGAGGGCGTACGGGATGCACGTTAGTCATGTAAGTATCCAACCAAGACAAAAACCTAAATACATCTAGAAAAATAAAGTAAACAAATATTTTTTCCTGGTTATATCAAAAGATTGTGAAATTCATGAAGTAATTAGTAGAAATATATCTAATTTTTCAGTGAGGACTTTAAAAAAAAAATTTTCTCTTCTGTATTTTCAAGTTAGAGCATTAGAAAATGCAATGACACTGCTTTGAACAGGAAACATTTGCTTGCTTTGATATTTCACTTCAAATGTCAAATATTTTACATCTAAATATTGCTCGAAAAATATGAAACAAACTATATTTTTGGGAGTGATATGTGTACATCACCATCTTTGTTTCTTTGAACAGTTAAACAGCAGCCAAGAGTCTGTGCATGCTGAGCCTGATAGTAATGAGCTAACAGCTTCTGGACTGGATGGCGATCCCATCATGATATCTTCCGAGGACCGCCACCACCACCACAGGGAGGGAGTGGAGGTCCTGTTGATAAGTCATCCATCAGTGCACTATCATGGATCAGACACTTTCTGTGATGACAGTGGTGAGTGTGAAGCTCTCACTGAGCCCCCCTCTCCTACCGAGAGTGAACACGAAGTCATAGACATTGAGCCGGACTCAGACAGTGAGAACGAGTGCTCAGAAAGAAACTCCTTAATGTCAGGAGAAAAGTCACGGTCCTACGATAAAATGGGAAGATCGTCAAGTCTTCATGACACAAGTGATGTTTAGAGGTTGATCAGTATGAAGTAAACCTTGCGTCACAATACCAAAGAACAAAAGAGGGTAGATGAACACAGAAGAGGCCAAAGAAAAAGACAGCGGCTATCTTAGATAACATGTATCTGTACTGAAATCTCATTTGTCTTGCTTTGTATGAATATCTGTTTCTTGCATTGAATCAATTATTCCCATTGTAGGATCTCTCATAGGTACAAAGCATGCAACTGGTTGTTAGTGGAGCTTAATTGAACACAATTTTCAATTCTTGCACGATTTTTTAACTCAGCGTGAAATGTCTTGCATAACAACATGATTAATATTTGGTGATTTTGATATTTTTTCATAGTAAGTTAAATTCAATGCCTCTTTTACTCATTTGGTAAAATGTATTTGTTGATTATTGGCAGGCAAGCCAATGCATCAGTAAATGAATATATATATTTATGTTGTCTCTGCTTGTTGCAGTGTTTATAATGCATATAGTCACAGTTCACTCATTGTATCAACCAAATTAATTCACATATGTGAAAGTAATCATTGTCATTATCTGTTATATATAGGTATGTACTGTAAATATGTTGTGATGCTGAAAGAGTATGTATGTACAGTTTCTTTTATTTCAAAGTTTATCTAAGGAAATTGAGACACCTCTTTGATTGACATTTCAATATTTAAGTGACATGCATCCTTGATCATTTTAAAGACACCATATGCAGTGTTTTTCTTATTTTTGTACAAGATCATGTCAAAGCAGCATGGGATGTAATTACATACTGTTTCTGTTTATAAGTAAATATTCCATTATTTTGACACAGTCCCACCATCAAAATACATGCATAAAATTTGGAAATAATATTAATGAAAATATATTAATTCACAGTGTATATCAGGTTAGCATTATATCTTGCTTGAAATGTCTTAAAAGGGTTTACAATTAGAGACAGAAAAGAATCAGGACAAGTTCAGACTGAGTGTGGTATAGTGAAAGTGAAGAATTATAGTAAAAGTGAAAGTGCTGTGTATTAAAAGTAAAAGTAGAGGAGCATCATTGAAATGAAAGTGCTGTGTAGTAAAAGTGAAAGTAGGAGCAAGGCTCCCGATTATATGTTGTTAGTATATTGTGTTGCTCTTGTTCAACAGGATATTATTTGAATGTTACTTATTAATGTTGCTGTGCTACAGTTGAAATTATTTCCATGTATAGTGTAGCCCTGCAGACAACGAATTTAAGTCAATTGTGCTATGTTATATGTAGGCTTAATTATTGTATGATGGCGATCAGATGGACATATGTTGCACTTGTTATCAACTCTTCACAAAATAGCATGAAATCTTTCTTTAAATTTAGGATAAGAATTCAGAACCGTTTTTGAAGCAAATATTTATATATAAATCTGGTCTAGAGAATTTATTTATAAAATTCTCATAAAAATGATGGAATTTTAATCTTTTGTTAAAAGCATTACATGTTCTTGATAAGAAACCACAGTAGAAATATCTTGGGTTATGTCTTTAGCACAGCAGCTATGTGATATCTTGTTGATGTTGTTTATTTATTGATATTTACACAATTTAAGGAAGTTCTACCTTTATTTGACTTCAATATTATGTGTTACATATTTATGTTTTATGATAGTGCTCTATGCCTCATTATAAAGATCTACAGGTTAATTTATTTGTGTTAAACAATGCATTTTTTTTTTTTGCAGTGTGCTTTGCAAATTTATAAAGAACATATAACATGTGATGCTACCAAGTAAATGCAATCAGGTCATTGGTTGCTTTATTAATCAGTGATTTTAAGACAGATTTTGGTTTTGGGTGACGCTAAGATCTAGGGCCCAATATAGTAGTGCTTTTGCATTTACCGTGTATTGTAGTTTTATTTAAGGCAGCTTAAGTCGTGTTCAGTTAGAACATCTACAAAAGGTGGCATATTGATTTATCATGTGTTTTATTATAACCCACATTCTTTATGATGTCAGATGATTATGTGAAGTAATTCATTGCTTTGGACTCTTTTTTTTAAAACTATGATTATTTATATTTAAATTATTTCAAATTTTTAAACATTTTTCAAAATGTAAGTTTGATTTGAAATCCCAAGGCAGTACATATACCATGTTTCATTCTAAATTTTTCCTGGTTTGGTCCAAGTTGCATCAAAGTTTAATACATAACCTAGCTTGTAAACTGCAAATGACCCTTACTTAATTTATTAGGTTGTGCCTTGTAAGAATTACAAAGCAATTTAAATTGTGCCTGGTTTTTTTTTTCTGCATGTGTCTGTGGTTTGTTACCTAACCATAAGTATAAACAAAAGTCACAAAAACTAAGTGTAGAGTAGAACAGTGATAAGAACGTCAAAGGGGTGAGCAATTATTGATATTCACAGACAAGTTAAGAATTCATGGTTAAAGCCCAGTGTAAAAGGTTTATCACTAGTAACACCTGTAAATACAACCCATCACACAGTAACACAGTCACAGGGAATGTTCACTAATGGTCCCCTAACACTAACAGCACTGGTTACACACCCTTATCTGTTTAGGGCAAAGCGCTGATATAAAAGATTTATTGAAGAGTTACTGGTTAATAAGATTCTTTTCATCTGGTCGATGTATTAATGATTATGATTTTGCAGATAACATTTTTTGTTGCAGATTTCAGAACATTGCGTTATCATTTCCATTTTTCCATTCTTCAACAAGCATAATCTGAAGCTTAGGTATACAAACAAATTGTTTAGCATCCATTTGATTTTATTATATATCATACTGTTTGCATATAAGTACAGCACATTGTAGGAGTGTCTGACTATTGAGTAAAATCATGATGCTAAAAGTTTGTTTTTCTCGACAATTGTATGAATTGTGGTCATTTTTTGTTTCAAGTAATAGTACATGATGAGATTTATACTTGCCAAAAAATGTATACTTTCACTGTAAATTATACTTTCAGAAATGTTATTGTGTGTATTTTCAGTGCCCTGTAAATAAATCTTTCTTATTACTCTGTTAATGTCTGATAGATGTGGAGTATCATACAGTGTTTATTAAAAGTAACGTTATTGTAAATGTCACTTGTTATTTATCAACACCTGCAAAACAAGATCTGGTATTGACTAACACATGACTTTAATGAGAACCCTGCAATAAAAGACCCGGTTTCAGTAACCATGGGAACACAATTCACCAAAATCAAAAACAGATATATGGAGTTACTGTATGTATTTTAATGTACTCTACTTGCATGCCATGTTATACTGAAATCGGACCAACACTGTAAGAGGAGTAGCATTTTTGAAAAACTGTTAATAGATGGATAGTCAACTAGACAAGTTGCAATCTTCAAAGTCTCCTTTAATCTAGAGGACCAAGCAATCAGGAATGCCTGTTCAGTAATTGTAAAATTCAGATCCCTGAGTCATTCTGTTGTTAGGAAGGGGCTCTATTGATCACATCTTTATAGCAAATATACATACAAGTAATTCTTCTAAGCAGAATACTCAGTACACAAATGGGTAAAAAAAAAAACAATAGGACTGCATTTCTTGAAAGTATGAAATCCATGGTCAGGGGTTCTGGCCTTTAAGTTTTAGTAGCATGTCAATTACCAAGTAACAAATTCTTCCTGGACCAAACTTGCATTGATGCATCTAGGGCTGGACTCTACCAGACTTGCTTCAAATGCTGGATGTGACCTATATTTTCCAGATGAGAGACCAGGTTAAAGGTTTTGGAGCAGGTCCATTACCAAGGAACTATAAATCCTACTCGGACCATACTTGCTTGGATGATAACTTTAGGGATGAACACTGCCAGGCTTGCTTTAGATGCTGGATTTGACCTTTATTTTTTCAGAAGAGTAAATTTTAATCATACTATTACCAAATAAGTATGGATGTTGATTTTACTGACATCCAGAGCAGCTTTGGATGCTGAGTCAGACATGTTTTCCAGACGAGTCAACAGGATAAAGTTTTTGGATTAGCTAAAAAATTTTATGACCTTGTAATTAAACTTGCATGGATGATGATCCATAGGATTGACACTTCCAGATATGCTCCAAATGTTTGAACTTCAAGATTTTTTTCTTGATTAGTGAATAGTTTTAAGTTTTTGAAGGAGGTCCATTCTCAAATAACTATAAGTCCTAATTTAACCAGTCGTGTATTGATATTGATTTGTGGATGAAAGCACTTACTACAAAAAAAAACAAGATTGTTTGTAAAACACCTGATGCCCCTGTATGGCATCTCATCGCGAAGATTGAAGTTTTTCAAATGCTATATACTTTCGAATCTTCGTTTACGGGGGCATATGCATAATGTGATATATGCCTTAATAATACATTATATTCTCGGAGATGAGCTTCGTAATCTTTTAGGTCTTGTCACAAGGAATACTCATGTGAAATGAAAGCCATAGCCCCGCCCATTGAAAAGTATTTTGCAAGGTTTAAGTTTTTGTAGACAAACAAATACATGTATATAGACAGACAGATAGATAGAGAGACAGACGGACGGACAGGGCAAAAACTATATACTGAGCTTCGTAATCTTTGATTACCTATGTTTATACAGGGGGAGAAATTAGGAATGAAAGTACATGTATCTATGCATTTTCACTTTACGTTGAATAGAGCCCTACCCTAACTCAAGAAACCCCGAATCCTAGGACTGGACTATCATGAATTATACAATTTTGATGGAGGGCTCACGGCTTATTTCAATCATGCCAAAAGTTTTACTTCTTAATGTCCAGAAGTAAATGAGAGAGCACTGATTTTAATGGTTTAAGCCATTCTCAGGCCTTGACGATGGGGTGCAGGCATCCTGATTTTAAAACCACAGTTTTTATTTCCTTCACCCATATTTGCTTTATACCAAAATTATAGTTGAAATATAGGTCGTTACGCACGATACACTGTGCACGAAGAACAAGTCGCCCGCTTGGCACAGTGGTTAGAGCGTCTGCTCTAGAGTAGCGAAGAAAAGAGTTGACCCTTACGTCGTGGGTTCGAATCCCACTGTGGAACGTGGAAACCGGTCCTGCGGAAGAGACCGTATAAACCGAGGTCCCTTGTCCTAGTAGGTACTGGCACGAAAAAAGACCCCCACCCCTGCTCAGTGGTGGCCGTAAGTGCTGAGGACAAACTTTGCAGCTCTCCATCGGCAAGTGGTGCCGTCTTCAGATGAGTGAAATATTCTCGAGAGGGACGTATCAAACAAACAAAACAAATTAAGAACGACGACGGACGAAAACAGATAGCTAAAGATCACCTGAATTACCTAAATAACTCAGATGATGCTCAAAATCGAACGAACATGTAAAACGTGCTGAACAACAGCGTGTGGTAAACAAATCCGATTTTGAAATGTGTTCATTAGCGACTTCATTTCTGTCCGCTGTGTAATGCTTACGGTTACATGTTAATTGTTTTAGTCTTTTCATGTCAAGATAGGATTGTCCAGGTCATCAAACCATATATTTTCAGGTCGCCCATCCCTCAATTTTTAAAAATAGAAAGTTAATAATAAGTAGCTTAAACATGTTAAAGTCACAGAATTCTTAAAGTGATATTTATCATCCCTTTCATTTTTCTTCAAATTTTGATTGATTTTTCATATTTATATAAATATGCCAATTTTCATAAAACATTATTTATATTTTGGAATATAAGATATATAAGGAAAAGAGTGAGTGATAGGTCTTTTAAAGTTGGTATTTATAGGAATCAACGGAAAACGGTAATTTTATTTTTAAAACATACCCCCCTCCAAATAACAATTCCTTTCTACAGGTATTATGAATTGTGGTTTCACAAATTTAACCCTCGCCATAAGCTGCCATACGGGAGCATCAGTGTTTCTCAATACATGTATTAAGATAACAAAAAAATATAATATTGATATAAGTTTTAAGGAGTAACAGTGTCGTTTGGCAGCGAACAGTAAGCAGTTGGCCGTCGTTTAGCTGCAGGTCTGTAGCTCTCCGAAAAAAAAAAATTATTGACAGACAGGAGAGCTACAGTGCCACCTATTTTAAAAACTGTATATTTATTGCGCACAAAAATTTGCGCTTAGTTTTGGATTATTCTTCCAAATTCTTACCTCAATCGCGGAAAAGATAGATTTATTAAAAAAATCCTAAACTCCTCTATATTTTCGATTATCTCAATATCAGGGTCAGGAGGTCTATTAACAAATTAAATATAAGGCATGTGTTGTTGTGGAAACAGTGAAAGAATATGTTAGGAACACACGTTTAGTAATATTTTTAGATGACAGTTAAAAAACATGCAGAATTAAATCGAGAAACTGCGCACTTATTTGTGCGCAATAAATATAGTTTTTTTTCAATAGATTGCACTGTAGCTCTCCGGTCTATCAATATATTTTTTTCGGAGAGCTACAGCCAGGTCTGCCGCTATCTGTCGTTTAAAGAATTCCATATGATTAATTGATGCTGTTTTTAAAAACTTTTTGTCCATTATTATATAATTTTTCTTTGCATTCATACAATTTTAAAAGGCCAAATTGCGATTTACAGTAAAACTCGTTTAGTACGAACACGGATATTGTAAAGAATATAGCGAACTTATCGTGGATCCACAGCTTTATAAATTTAACGGATTCCTTACATGGATATAACGATTTACGGATATAGCGAAGTATAATTTCACAGGTCCCGGCGACTTCGTTATAACCGAGTTTTACTGTATATGTATATTTAATGGATGTAATGTGTAGGTGGACATCTAGAGTTAGCGTGCGTCCATGTAGTTCTTGCAATAGAAAAAAATGTAGATTTGGGAATTTTTTAACTTTATCAATGCGAGAAAGGAGTGTATCAGAAAAATGAGTATTTCCTCTTAAAAATGAATCATTTAATTTTTCCCTGTAGACAAATAATTCAATTGCCTTTTGAACGCAGACAGGCGGAGGGGGGGGGGGGGGTTCACATACGATAAAAGAAGAAACTTTTAGTGGGGACTGGGTAATGTTGTGTTTTTGTATATTTACGAGAAAACTGAAAATAAAAGAGGCCTAACTTTTGCCTCTGATAAAATATTTAGCGATACTTTTTATTGTTTCACTTTTTCATTTCGAAAATGGTGTTGACTTGGTTAATGAAATAGAAATTTCTCTTAAATACAATCAAAATTCTACTGCTAGTTGTTTTATGCAAACAAAATGTTTATGCGATGTCTATTTGTTTGTAATCTTACGAGAGATCATGTAGTTCAGACAGGCGAGGACAACCAAGAACAATGTTTAACAGAATTGTCTCTCTTAGTCCACATAGGCCTATATAATTTCAATGCAATCCATCGTCGAGTCCGAAATTTATGACGTTTTTCGGGCTTTTTCACGATTTTGATATTTTACGTGTCCGGAAAACGTCAGAACCGGTGCCACGAAAACTGGGAATTCGCCGGCTCCAACCCCAAGTTACGTTATATCGTATAACATAAGTTTAAACAAGCTTCATTCTTTATAATTTTTCACGACAAATATATGAAACCATAACGCTACAGATCTGCAGCTAACGTTTTTCGGACTTTTTAACGATTTTGATATTTTACGTGTCCGGAAAACGTCAGAACCGGTGCCACGAAATGGGAATTCGCCGGCTCCACCCCCAACTTATGACAATTTTTCCTCCGGAAAAAGGCTTCAAATTTTAATTTATTTTAAAAGTGACGTCAAGCGGAGTAATACGTTTTTGACGTACTCATTGTGACTCATTGTGACGTAGGCAAGTTATGGTATACAAAATGGATTAAAAGTTTTAATCAAATATGACGTGTTACAACTATAACTAGTGCTAATTGTAACGGGGACCGTTACAGATGTTCCCCAAACGCTCCCCAAATCCCTTTCTTTGCCTAATTCCTGTAAGACATTTTTAAAAATATTATCAGTATTGAAGGATTTCATCAAAAAATTATAAAGGCTACAATGCTATCAACTATATGTCATTTAATGCATTGTACGCACACGCAAGTGCATGCACATGCAATATGATTATGGCATAAATATCTAAATATCGTGAGAATAAATAAAAAAATT